TATCAAATTGGCGATTGTACCAAATAAGAGTTTTAATTTTAATCTTTGACAGAGTTAGTATCAGCCATTTTAGACAATAAGCACTAAAATAATACTTCATCAAGAAGGCTTGTGGGAATGTGGCAAGACTCCCACCCTGTCGTGTCTTTACTGAATCACAGCCATCTTGAATCTCTACTAAAATAGAAATAACCGTTTTTTGCAAGTGTTGGCCCAAGTGTCTTTGTGTGTTTTTTTTTTAAAGATTTTATTTATTTATTATTGAGAGACACAGAGAGAGAGAGAGACAGAGACAGAGACACAGGCTCCCCGAGGGGAGCCTGATGTGGGAATCCATCCCAGGACCTGGGGATCATGACCTGAGCCAAAGGTAGACGCTCAACCGCTGAGCCACCCAGGTGCCTCTGCCCAAGTGTCTTTGCTGTGTGCAATACAGCGCACAGTGAAGGAGCACCCTTGCATGTGTTTATCAGCCTCTCTACTTGCCCAGTGCATTCCCTCCTGGGTTGGAATGAACGCTGTCAAGCAGATGATCCACATGTGAAGTCTTCTATCAGACCATTTCAGAGAGATGTAGGCCTTCTGACAGCCAGTGTGTGTGAGGCATACATATAATGAAAAGTTGTAATTTTACTTCAGAAGGGCAGGGATGTGACCAGAGCTGTGGCTTGCAGACAGCCTGGCACTCAGGGGTGGGAGGCCACTGGGGAGTTGATTTTGGTTCAGTTCCACTGACGCTCAGCTACAGTTTTAGGGTTGGTTTCCCAACTGCATGGCTTTCTGCAGAGGTGCTGGCTGCCAAGTCACACACGGAGTTGGTTTGCGTGTTCCTTCAGGGCTTGGGGCTATTCGTTTCTCTCAAAACCCCAGACATGGAGGCTTTGGGGAAGAGTGAGAAATGCTATTAATAATTTATTTGAAAGGGGTTTCTATTTAGTGAAAGTGTTGAGCAAGCAAACAAGATAGTGTGGAATTAACTACCTTAAAAAAAACCTATTGAGTCTTTTAGCTAAGAACAGATTTTTTGCTTATTTTAGACAGAAGTGAAATTCAGATGAACTATTAGAGAACAAATCGCCTGTATATTGGGTGACAAAAGATATCTTTCAAAAAACGTCTCAAAACTCTTGCATGGTGAGATTAGTTGGGGAGGTCTCCTTTTTAAGCGTAATTTTTGTTGCTATTTATAGGATGATAGGTTTTCTCAGTCTGTTAGTGAGGTCCCATGATTTTAGAAATGAAACAATATTTTAAAAACGAAATCAAGCAATTACAGACTCACACATGTGATTTTACCTCAGATTCCTCTCCCCACAGCAGATAACATAGTATACAGGATACACAAGATTGATCTAACTGGCTTTTTAGTTGTGTGTCTCTGAAAAAGTCTCTAGTTATTTCCCTTGGGCCTCTCAGTTCTGGTAGCCTTTTTTTTTTCTTTCTTTTTTAAGATTTTATTTATTTGAGAGCGAGAGGGAGAGAGGGAGTGAGCACCAGTGAAGTAAGGGTCAGAGGCAGAGAGAGAATCTTAAGCAGACTCTGGGCTGAGTGTGGAGCCTGATTTGGGGCTCATGACCCAGAGATCATGACCTGAGTTGAAACCAAGAGTCAGACACTCAGCCACATGAGCCACCCAAGTGCCCCTGTTTTCTTTTTTGAATTAAAAAAATAAAAATAAAAATGAAAGGAATTTTAATTTTTTTAAAATATTTTATTTAAAAAAAAATAAAAGATTTTATTTATTTATTCATGAGAAGCACACAGAGAGAGGCAGAGACATAGCAGAGGGAGAAGCAGGCTCCCTGCAGGGAGCTGGATGCAGGACTCAATCCTGGACCCTGGGATTACATCCTGAGCCAAAGGCAGACGTTCAACCGCTGAGCCACGCAGGTGTCCCTGAAAGGAATTTTAAAAAACAAAGCTCAGTTTCCCAAAATCATTGGCTGCTTTTTTTTTTTTTTAAATGGTGGTGGAGAGGTCTTTTTATTTATCAGATTTAATGAGAAAACTTTACAAAGCTATAATCATAATATAAAATTTGGGACTTTTAAAAAAGTTTTTATTTAAATTCCAGTTAACATATCATGTAATTTTTTTTCTTTTACGTAACGTGTAATGTTAATATTAGTTTCAGGTGTACAACATAGTGATTTACTCTTCTATACATCATCCAGTGCTCATCATGACCAGTGTGCTCCTTCATCCCCATCATTTGTTTCACCCATTCCCCTCCCTCCCACTTCTCTTCTGGTGACCATCAGTGTTTTCTCTAGAGACAAGAGTCTATTTCTTGGTTTTTCTCTCTCCCTCTCTTATTTTCCTTTACTTATTTGTTTCTTAAATTCCACATATAAGTGAAATAATACAGTTTTTGTCTTTCTCTGACTGACTTTGCTTAGCATAATACCTTCTAGCTCCATCCATATTGTTGCAGATGGCAAGATTTCAGTCTTTTTTTTATTTCAGTCTTTTTGATGGCTTAGTCATATTCCATTGTGTATATATACCACATCTTCTTTATCCGTTCATCAGTTGATGGGCATCTGGGCTCTTTCCATAATTTGGCTATTGTAGATAATGCTGCTATAAACATCGGGGTGCAAGTATCCATTCAAATGAGTAGTTCTGTATCCTTTGGGTAAATATGTGGTAGTGCAATTGCTGGATCATAGAGTAGTTCTACTTTCAACTTTTTAAGGACTCTCCATACTGTTTTCCAGAGTGGCTGCCTCAGTTTGTGTTCCAAGGATGGAGGTAGGGAGTATTATGCCATGTGAAGTCAGTCAGAGAAAGACAAATATCATATGATTTCACCCATATGTGGAATTTAATAAGCAGACAAATGAGTGTAGGAGAGAAAAAAAGAGAGAGGCAGAGTAAGAGACACACTCTAGAAAACAAACTGAAGGTTACAGGGGGTGGGTGGGCAGAGATGAGGGATGGGTGAAACACGTGATGGGTCTTAAGGAGCGTACATGTCTTGATGAGCAGTGGGTGTTGTATGGAAGTGTTGAATCACCATATTGTATACCTGAAACTAATATTACACGGTATGTTAACTGGCATTTTAAAAAAACTTAAAAAAAAAAAGATTCCAGTGTTATTTTTACCAAAGTAGAAAAAAATCCAAAATATTTTAAAGTTTTCATAGTTATTTGGATTGTTTAATGCTCTTTTGAAATGATGAACCATCATTTACTGACTCCCCCTGCCACCATATCTTACTGAACCATAAGGTCAATTTTGATTTTGGAGGGTATTTGACATTATTGTCATAATTGTCATAATTTGACATAGTGTAACAATGAACATGTCAATTCAGCTTTTATTCCTCTGTTGAAATTAGGGTTAAAAATTTAAATTATTTTTATGGTGCTTGATATGTTCCATAACTTTTAAATTAAATGTTTTTTATTTATTTGGTTTTCAGGATTTGGGGACTGTCTCTAAATTTACTAAATGGCAAATTGAAAATTTTATGAAGCATAAAAATACTGAGCCTTCTCACCCAGGAGTAACCTCATAGGTTCTGGTTGGCAGTAGTAATTATAGCTGTCATCGCTGAGAAACTTTATTTTAAAGATTTTATTTATTTGAGAGAGAGAGAGCAAGCACAAGCAGGTTGAGCAGCAGAAGGAGAGGGAGACGCAGACTCTTCACTAGGCAGGGAGCCCGATGCAGGACTGGATCCCAGGACCCTTGGATCATGACCTGAGCCTAAAGCAGCCACTTAACAGACCAAAGGCACCCAGGCACCCCACTGAGAAACTCCTTTGTGCTAGGTGCTCTGTACATCTGAGTGTCTTCTGGCATCACTGGTACTATTGATTGAATTGAGTAAAATGGCTCCTAGAACGAGAATAGTATTCCTGAGCCTAAATTAGTGAACTAAAAATAAAATTGTTTTTTTAGCCATAGGATTTGGTTTATTAAATTGTAGACCAGGCAACAAGTTCTTAAACCGCAGAGTGCCATGACTTTGTTTTTTCTGGCATTAACCGAATGGTGTTATTTACGCTGATGGTTCCATTTGTAAACTAGATCATGCCCTGCTTGGCTTTTGAATGCCTGGTAATAATGTGCCTTAATTGTGGGTCAGTGAAGCCAAACTAATTGCTTGTTGGGCTCTTGGATTGCCTTTTTAATTTGCAGTATAATATAGTCTCTACCAGAAATGCACTTATGTATTGTCATTTAAGTAAAACTTATTAAAATCATTTGCAGACAACAGAATGCCTGATATTTTGTCCATAATCTTGTAATTATGTACTTGTAATTTACAAGTACCCTTTTTTTAAGTGCCTTTGTATCCTTTCCTTTGGAGGTACACATAAAGTGACTGATATGTTTCATATCCGTGTGATAGCTTTCTTTACCAAACATTGTTTTGCTTTGTGCTTTTAATATGTTTTAAATGACAGTAATAGCATGAGCTTCTGAGATGGTCACTTACTTCAGACTGTGTAATTCACTCATCAAGTTTGGCATTTATCCAATGACTTTCCATCTCAGTTAAAAAAAAAAAAAAGATACCGGTGCTGTCATTCTCAGCTCACAAAACACCAATCATAGGGGTTCCCTTTTTAATTTTTAGGAACAGTTGTTAAGAAGTCAGTAAGATGGTTAGCTTTCTGTAATGTTTGTTTTCTCTCACTTTCCCTTGATTAATATGAGCAAACCTGCAGAGGACTTCCTTTTGACTCTTCGATGTCTAATTTCATTCATTTAGCTAATATTTATTGAGTATCTTTTGAGTGTCAGGAACTTTTGTAGGTGTTGGGGATACCAAAGATTGTTTTTTTCATATTTATTTATGATAAATATTTAGTCCTAGAGAAAAATCTTTGAAGTGAATTGTAAGTACTTTTTTCAAATGATTTCAGATGGAGTAATATAATTAAGAGGCATCTAAGAAGCATTTAGTAAAGAATTTAATAGATGCTTGTATATGGTTTTTAATAGAAATGAGCCCGTTGTCTGTTTTTCTTTTCTTTTTGTAGGTTATTTCTTATGAGAGTCATGGATATCCCCTATCTAAACTTGGAAGGACCAGACTGTAAGTGATTTTTATTTTCTCATTGCATCTGCACGTTGAAGTGTGTGGTCTGGAAGGGATAACAGGAAAAATATTACTGAAGAAAGAGCTTTATTCACATAAAAACAGGCAGTGATTTTGTGGTTGATATGAATAGTATGCTTAAGTTAATGGTACCCTTGGGTCTTGATTAACTCCTCTCTTTACTTACATTTTCCAGTTTATGCATGAGTTGAATTTTAAAAGAATATATATCTTCTCTTCATTATTTTGTTTTCACTCAGAACTCAGATTCATAATATTCTATAAATACACATAATAAATTTCGAGATGGCTAGCTATGTCAGTAACTAGAAGTTCTCTATTTTCCAGTAATTTGAATATGTATATATTGAAGTTGGGTAGGGTTTTTTTTTTTTTTTCCTTCTTCTTTTTCATTGAAAACCTTGGAAGACTTGTCTGTCTGGGAAGTGGTTGCTGCTGTTTTGGATTATTCTCTGCTTTCTCCTCCTTCCTGTCCCATTCTTCTGTTCCATTGCTCGTGCTAGTCTGGGTTTATTTGCCTTAATCCACACCACAGGGATATAGAAATGGGTGAGCTCTACCCAATGGTAATAGTCATTGTAGTGATGATCAGAACACATAGATTGCCCTCTAGATTAGACTTCTATTTTGATGCACTCTTCTCACAACAGTTCTGCAAGCTAAACATCATCATTCCCAGTTTATAGCCATGAGTGGCTAGAGCAGTTCGGTCTCTTGCTCAGAGGTGCACAGTTGAGTGGTGGGTCTGAGGTTAGAACATAAGACTGTGACTCAGGACTGTTTCTACTTAAACTCAGTCCATCGGATTTTGGACGGTGGTGCTAAGTAAACATACGAACAACTAGATTAACAGTAAAAAGTTAAACACTTAGTGAAATGTCTTGAACAAAGTAGCCATTTTTCCCCCCTTGAAATAATTTTCATGGGAACTTCATAAGCAGAGGTGGTATGCATAGAATTGTCAGGATTCAATCCATTGTGAATTCTATAAAGTATCAGAGCCGAAGTTGAGGCTAAGATGGCAGAGTCATACCATTCCTAAAAATACTTTTAGGAGTTGCTTGGTAATCATGAGTCATTCCCAGCAGTTCCTCAAGAGAGCTGGGGGTTAGCTTCATTTTAGAACCACTGGTGTGTCATTCACTTTTCAGTTGTCAACCTTTTATCAAAAATTTGTCCCATAGTGCAACCAAAACGTGATCATGTTCTTCATGTGACATTCCCCAAAGAATGGAAAACCAGTGACCTTTACCAGCTTTTCAGTGCCTTTGGTAAGTAAATCACAAGTGCATGTGTAGTTTTAGGATTTTGCTATGTTTCTGGTCTGTGCAGGTGGCCGCAGGTACAACGACAACTTCAGCTTGGACATGAAAGAGTATTACTATGCAAGGGTTTGATCTCACTCATGGAATTTTTCAAGGTTTGGTATATTGGTATCTTTGTACTAACATGATCTGTGGAACTTTTAATAGCACCCTATAATAGAGTGCTATTATTAATCCACAGAAAGCAGGATACTATTACTATGACTGCCCTTACTGCTGACCATTGAAAATGAATCTAGGCTGAGGATAAATCATTTTTAAGATTAAATTCAGAGGGAAAGTCTGTTTCGTAAGGACAGGCGGTCACTGCTTGACATTGAATAGTCCAAGCAGATGAACGCAGATGTTTGAGAGGACCAAAAGATGAGTTATGTGTGCAGTAGGACTCTTCTCCTAATTCCTTTTTCTCAGATCAGGTGATAGGTTAAAAGGAACAGTCTTCTGATTAGGGTTCATAAAGACCGTTCTGATTGTCAGTCTCCAGCAGTGCCTGTTTATTTTAGCAAATGAAATATTTAAGCTGTTCTCTTTGGAAATTCTTGGATAAAGTAAAGGCAGTACAAACCTAAGTGGGCAATAATAAGACTGTTTAGTGTTTATGTACCTCAACAGGCTGGTATGTGGTCATTTAAAAAATATTTGAAGAGTTTATTAAAAGGTGGTGAAATGTTTGTTTTAAGGTTTAGTGTAAAAAGCAGATGCAAGGTAGGGCTCCTATACAACTAATACTTTTTTTTTTTTTTATAATACCTTGTATAGATCAGCCTGAAAAGAAGCCTCATGCTAGTATCACTGACTGCTTTAGATAGGTTTTTTTTCTTCTTTATGCTTTTCTATATTTTTATTTTTATTTTTTAGGGAAGGAGGGAGGGGGAGAGAGAGAGAGAAAGGAGGGGGAGAGGGAGACGAAAACAATCTTAAGCAGACTCCACACCCAGCGCAGAGCCTGACAAGGGGCTCCATCTCAGGATTTGGATATCCATCTCAGGACCCTAAGCCTATCTCAGGACCTGAGCTGAAATCAGGAGTCGGATGCTTAACCAATCGAGCCATTCAGGCATCCCAACTTTTCTGTATTTTCTAAAATAAGCATGTTTATAAGTAAAACACTTTATAGACTTAATTTTGGAAAAGTAAGCAGAAGGTAAGTTTCAGGAAAGTTATCCTAGTCTTTGCAGATGATCTCAATGACTTCTGAAATTCTAGTCCTGCTTTTTAATTTAAATACAGATCTAGAAATGCAGTTGGATTTCACAGCTCATTTCTTTGAGGGTTTTGATGTTGTTGCTGTATTTTCTCAATTTGTATTGTTAAGTTCTTATCTCTCTGTAGTCAGCCTTTAATTGGCTAAATTAAGTAGAATGCTCTGAGTAGAATTTTGTTTTCATTTTAATGAAAAGGAATCAGTTGGGTGATACTGGACAGGTAGCTTCTGTATCTTTGTGTCCTCATTGGAGATGGTGATGTTGATGTTGGTAAGACCATTTACTATATATAAGCATTGCATGAGGATTAAATGAGCTGATTCATGGAAAGCAATTAGGATAGTATGTGGTATATAGCAACAACTTAGAGCCTGTTCACTATTATTATTTATTGAAAACACGCAAGGTGGAGAAGTGACTTTTATAATTGAGCAAGTTATTAGGGTTCCTTACTGTGCAGTAGGGCATGAGTTTTTGTCCTATGACAGAGCAGTTTGCAAGCCTTTGAAAATTTGGGGAGGGGGATCCCTGGGTGGCGCAGCAGTTTGGCGCCTGCCTTTGGCCCAGGGCGCGATCCTGCAGACCCGGGATCGAATCCCACATCGGGCTCCCGGTGCATGGAGCCTGCTTCTCCCTCTGCCTATGTCTCTGCCTCTCTCTCTTTCTCTGTGACTATCATAAATAAATAAAAATTAAAGAAATTTAAAAAAAATTTGGGGAGGAATTAAAACATTCTTTGATTATTAAATTCCAGTGATGTCTGCCCATTTTTAGTAATTCTAGTCTTCCATGTTTTTTCAAGAAGAGTGGTAGCTAAATAATTAGACCTGGATATCAGATATCCAAATGAAGTCTGATAGTGATCTAAATGGTCAAATGTGGGGATCCCTGGGTGGCACAGCGGTTTGGCGCCTGCCTTTGGCCCAGGGCACGATCCTGGAGACCCGGGATCGAATCCCACATCGGGCTCCCGGTGCATGGAGCCTGCTTCTCCCTCTGCCTGTGTCTCTGCCTCTCTCTCTCTCTCTCTCTCTCTCTCTCTCTCTCTCTCTCTGTGACTATCATAAATAAATAAAAATTTAAAAAAATTTTTAAAAAATGGTCAAATGCTCCCTTTACTTTTATTTCAACATTACAGGTAACATTCAGATATCCTGGATTGATGATACATCAGCATTTGTTTCTCTCAGCCAGCCGGAACAAGTACAGATTGGTAAGTGCTTTGGACATTTGTTTTGTAAATTAATTAAAGTGGGAGCTCACCTTCCTTATACTGTAGGTTCCATTAGCTGATTAACAAGCACTGCAGCTTGGTTGGTTCAGAGCTGTCTCTAAAATAAAGGAAATAATTAGTACATATCACGTGTAGGTGAGAAAATAAGACAAATTTATTAATTCATTAGACATACTATGTAATGTATCTTTTCACTTCTTTCCTGTTCCCTTCCATTGCACTTTTTCTAAAACGAGTTACAGATTTGCTTTGAGAATAAAAATCAGCAAATTCAGAGGAATGGGGAACACCAAAAGGTGATACCTGTATTCTCCTTTCATCTCTGTACTTTTTCCATATATTTATAAGTTTTTGTGATCTATTCATTTCATTAAACTTGTATGGAATACTGGTTTTACAAACTGAAAGATATTTTATTTGTTTTTAAAATAGGATGGTAGAAAGATGGAATGCCACATCTCTTACTGGACCCTAAATAATTTTGATATTAACCATCTCAAAATGTTCTCTTTTCTTAGGATGAAAAGTTGAATAAAATATGTATTGTTCAGCTACTTATTCAAATAGATTTCAAGTTTTTCTGGTGCTTAATAATGTAGGAGAAAATTAAATTTTTTCTTCTTATTTAATAAGGTGCCACATACTAAAACTCTGTAATTCTGAGAATGTAACTATATGAGTAATTACGTAGAAAACTTCCACAAATATACATATTCAAATCAGAGTATTTTGGTGGTGGTTCTTAATTCTATGACCGTTGCAGGACTATAGGCTATATTGTAGTGAAAAGCTTGAGCTCTGCGATCATGCTGCTGCACTACCTCTAGTTGTGTGACGTTGGGCAAGTTATTTCATCTTGAGAAACTTCTGGTTATCTCTGTAAACTGGGATGATAGTATGGGCTTACTGGGGTTATTGTTAGGATAACATGAGATTTCATGTATATATATTTCATATATTTCATATATATATGAATATATATATACCGTGGCAGAGCTTTGTACTTTTACAATGGTCATTAATAGTGGATTTCATTGTGAGGTGTACTTTGGGAACACATGACACCAAGAATTAGCGTTGGATGCAGGGTGTGAATGTTGTCACTTGTTAATAGAGAGACCATTGAGATGGTGCACAAAAGAACTGATTATTAGAGAGCTGAAGATAACTTCAAGGGGGGGAAGGGACTCTGAGAACATAGCGAGATATTATGTGGCCATAAGGACGCAGAACCAGAACTCCTGGCTGGAAGTCCAATCAAATCCAAGTCCAATCCTCTGCTCAGCTTCTCCCTTTAGATTTCCCGCTGGTCCCACTTGGGTGACATTGAAACTCTGCAGTGGGATGGAAGGAGATGCAAAGGCTTGGAAGCCAGACTGCCCCTGGGACTAACCTCGCCTCTACCACCTGTCAGCCCTGTGTCTTTGGGCAGGTTCCATAATCGGGCTTCTCTGTCTGAGAGGTGGAGGCGATGATAGTTCCTTTGTGAAATGAGATCACGGACATTAAGTGCCCAGCAGGGAGCCTGGCACTCCACAAGCAGTGCTTGACAAATGCTAGGTAATTATTAAAATATCTGCTTGGCCTCCCTTGCCGTGAACAGTAAAAATGAGAGTCTGTAAAAGCTCTAAGACACTAGCTGGTGGTGTCTGCTTGCAAATACAAGCATAATTCCTTGTTTATGTCTATGGGTGTCAGTGATGCTTTTCATGTTGTCGTTATACCACATTTGATGTCCTGTGACGATTGCTCCCTCATTTATGATTGAAAGATGCCTCAAACAGTAGCTTCCCAACTCAGTATTTCACTCAGTGATACCTAAAATCTGGGAGCTGCATTTCAGAATCACGTTGCCACAGAAGCTCTGCAGTGTGATTGTTTTTCCTTGTGTGTTGTTTCCCTGAGGGCAACATCGAGTCCATCTTCTTCCCCAGTGACTCCTTCTTTAGTGCTTGGAATGCACTGTGGCTTGAGTAACTCAATGTGTGCCTGAGTCGGTAACATGGGGAAAAGGCCAGGTGAAAGTGTGACCTTTTTACCTTTTTCCTCCTAGATCAAGTAGATGACTGTTGTGTCTTGATATATGCAGCTTTACTAGTAAAGTCTAAGTTTCCATTGTTGTCTCTTACACAAAAGACATCTCTTTTCTTTTTAAGATTGTATTTATTTATTTGAGAGAGAAGAGGTAGAGAGCACAGGCAAGGGGGAGGGGCAGAGGGAGAGGGAGAAGCAGACTCCCTGCTGAGCAGGGAGGGTGATGTGGGGCTCAGTCCCAGGACCCCGGGATCATGACCTGAACCACAGGCAGACGCTTAACTGACTGAGCCACCCAGGCACCCTCACAAAAGACAGCTCCTAACATAAATACCTGACCATTTGCATGTGCCGTGCCTGTGACCATAATTCTCTTTGCCACAAACCATCCTCTTCCTCCAGAGCTTGGCTGTGTCCCACTTCCCTCGTCTCAGCTTAAACATCCATTTCTCTGAATGTCTTCCCTGGCTCCCTGTGCAGGGGATTGGACCCCATTTTCTGTGCCAGCCTGGCCTCCTCTACTGACATGTCATGTTTTGACTGTCTTCTCTGGTAGACTATAAACTCTCTGAGAGCAGGGACCAGACCTCTTGCTCACCATTGTGTTTTCAGTGCTCAGAGTAGTGACTGACATTAGCAAAGAAGTTAAATGTTTGTTGAGCCCAGTAAGTGATATTCAGGGTATAATGACTTAGCAATGCCTTTCTGCATGGGCCGGATATATCTGATGTCTCTGGTCTTTTGCTGTGATTTATAAAATTATGCAGATGTTTCATTGAAAGACCGTGTAAAATCTGTTTTTTATAGCAGTTCTTTTAATGACAGAGAGACCGAGGATGTCTAAAGTGCTGCAAACCCTATTAATGTTATCTTAAACAAATTACTTATTCATTTCAGCGGAAACAGAGGGCCTGTAGATCAATAACGTAACATTGGAAAAATCATTAAATGCCTATTTATATAGCAGCTTGTAATGGCTTCTTTGGCGCTGTTACAGACTGATTTTTTGATTTACATTTAAGAAGTTGCTTCTTACCTGACACCTGTCTTTTTCTTTTGCTAGCACTAAATCTAATCAAGATATTTTAAAAAGCCATTTTCAGTATCTTGAATATGAAAGTTCTCTTTTTCTGCAGAACTTTGTTGTACTAATTATTAAAACCCTTCTTGAAACTAATAATATATAGTATATGTTAATTAAATTGAATTTAAATAAAAAATTAATTTAAAAAACCCCACCTTCTACCAAGTGCTATTTGGTTTGGTTGCTGATTTTTTGTTTGTTTGCAAGAGATTAGGTGAGCATTCCAGTGGCTTTGGGCTTGTCCAAGTGGTGAGAGCCCATACCAGCCATACATTCAACATTATCCCCTTGTAGCTCCTCAGATAAGATAGTACATGACTATGGAGAACATCACCTGTTCTCACTGTTTGAGAATTTTCCTCAAAGTTGCAGAGTAAGAGATCATCACCTTTAAGGGTCACATCTGAATAGCTCATTCATATTTAAGATTTTTATATTCCTAATGTAGTTTTGTTAAATGAGGGAGGGACCCAGCAATATTTTAAAAGTCAGAGAACCTTTTAGTCATACTCTCAATATTTAGCCATTGAGTATTTTTGAGTGTCCTAAACGCATTATAAATTTTCATATGAATAGCTTGAGAGAAAAATAACCTTCTCATTTATTTTGAAAGCTGGAAATTGCAGTGCACTACCAGAAATTTATAAAAACACAAAAATTGATAAAAGCACTTTAAAAGATGTAGACACCTGACAATTATTTTGTAAAAGCAGCACAAATTCAGGTATTTGTATAAATTACTGATATGCTGCCTAGGAGCTTGTTCAGGACAGTGTGTTGGGATGGAGGGAGAAACTTGCTTCATTTTAGTCTAGGGTATGAGTGTGTTTATATTAAATTGTACTTTCAAAAGCACAGCTTTTATTTGTGCTGAACAGATGAATATTAGAGTTGTGGATATGACTGGAGGCCATTGTTCAATACTGTTTTGCTGAAAGGTGCTTATAACTTTAAACTTTACCTGTGCTTTTTGGTTCTTTTAATGTCTGCAGAATTTGTATTGATAACCGCTTGCTTCACATGCAGTATTGGTGATTTGTGTTTTCATTTTTCCTTGATCACACTAGCTGGGGGATACTGATTTTGATGATCTTTTCAAAGAGCCAGCTTTTGGCTTAGTTGTATTGTTTGTTTTTGTCTGTGTGCTGTATTTCTGCTTTTTCTCCTCAGTTTTTTTTTTTTTTAAGATTTATTTATTTATTTTAGGGACAGAGAACGGAGAGCACTCATGAGCATGAGTGGAAAGGGTAGAGAGAGAGGGAGAGAGACTTTCAAGCTGACTCCATGCTGAGTGTGGAGCCCAATGTGGGTCTTGATCCTCACAATCCTGAAATTATGACCTGAGCTGAAACCAAGAGTCAGCTGCTAAACCAACTGCGCCACCCAGGCACCCCTTTCTTCCTTTTTTCCTCCATTCTTTTTCCTTTTTCTTTTCCTTTTTCTTTTCCTTTTCCCTTTCCCTTTCCTTTCCCTTTCCCTTTCCCTTTTCCTTTCCCTGTACACAACCTAGGGCTCAAACTCACAACCACAAGATGAAGAGGCACATAGTCTTTCAGTTGAGCCAGCCAGGTGCCCTCTTTCCTTCCTTTTATTTCCTTTGGGTTTACTTTGCCCTTCTTCTTTCCACTTCCTGAGGTAGAACCATATGTGATTGATTTTTAAAAATTTTTCTAGGGGTGCCTGGGTGGCTCAGTTGGTTAAGTATCCTACCCTTGATCTCGTCTCAGGTCTTGATCTTATGGTCGTGAGTTCAAGTCCCGCATTGAGCTCCATGCTGGACATGGAGCCTACTTAAAAAAAAATTAATCTAAAATTTTGTATGCCTGGCCTTCTAGAGATTGTCCCTGGGTCTTTTATGGCT